TGATTTCAGACTTCTGCCCTGTAAGGGAATCAATTTCTCTTGTTTTAAGCCACCAAGTTTGTGGTAATGTATTACATACTCCTAGGAAACCAATACAGTTGAGCATTCAAAATCAGAATGACCTTTAAAATGTGTTGAAAGGAAGAAAGAAAGAAAGAAAGAAAGAAAGAAAGAAAGAAAGAAAGAAAGAAAGAAAGAAAGAAAGAGAGAAAGAAAGAAAGAAAGAAAAACAGATTAGGTAACTCCTGATCTCTCCTTCAAAGCTAAGTTCTATACCACAGAATCCAGCATGCCAGGTACATAATAAACATTCATCAGTTTGCTACCTCTTCCCCGTGGGCATTCTGGCAACCCATTCTGTTACCACCATATGACTAATGCCCAGTCGCAGATCCTTCCAACGTCTGCATTTTCTAATTTAGACTAAAACTGTGCACTAAAACCATCTTCACAAATATCTGACAGGAGCCCTGAAAACCCTGGCAATTCTGATTCAGAAAGTCTGTGGTGGGGCCAAGGCATATTTGCACATTTTTTTTAAATATATTTTATTGATTTTTTACAAAGAAGGGAGAGGGATAGAGAGTTAGAAACATCGATGAGAGAGAAACATCGATCAGCTGCCTCCTGCATGCCCCCCAGTGGGGATGTGCCCGCAATCAAGGTACATGCCCTTGACTGGAATCGAACCTGGGACCCTTCAGTCCGCAGGCCAATGCTCTATCCACTGAGCCAAACCGGTTCGGTGGTATTTGCACATTTAATAAGCTTCATAAAGATGCTAATGTCACCAGACATTGGAACCTAGGGCGTTCAGCAGGTGGACTTGCTGTGTGGCTACTCTCTTTCTAAAACCCACGTGGGCTGATAGGCAAAGGAACCAGTGTGATGGAGGGAGCAGAGAGCACAGGGCTGGAGGACAGAGAATACACATAAGAAAGCTAGACAGAAGTACTTCTGGTCAAGATGGAGAAATAGATAAACGCTGTGCTCACCTCTTCGCACGACCACATAAAGTTACAGCTAAATTCTAGAACAACCAACCTGGAGAACCATCTGAAGACTAGCTGAAAATAAGTATTATAACTAAGGATATAAAGAGGAAGCCATGTTGAGACTGGTAGGAGGGCAGAGACCTAAATGGGCTGGCCCCACAGCCATGTGTGGTGGTTGGAATTGGGAGGGATATTTCAGGTGTGAAGGTTACCCCTGAGGAGTGAAGTGTCCCAGCCCCACACTGAGCTCCCCAGCCTTGAGCACCAATACCAGGAAGCAAAGACCCCACAACATCTGGCTATGCAAATCAGCAGGGATTCTGTCCGTCTAGGTGAGACAGAGGCTGCTGAAAACCCAGACACCTTCTTAAAGGGCCTGTGCACAGACTTACTTGCAGGAACCCACCCTGGGCTCCAGAGGAGGAACCGCAGCTCTGGAGACATACAGTGAAAAACTGAGTTGTGTGGCTTCAGAGTGAAGGCTGGAGGGACAGCCCCTGTGTGGAGCCCTCCTCCCACACAGCCAGCAGGTGGGTACCATCTTTCCTGTGTTGAGCCCTCCCCACACCTGGCCAATTCTGAATCTGCATTAGCCCATTGAACACCACTCGCTCTGCCCTAACCACTCTCTGAGAGCCCATCCTACCCAACTCATACACCGGAAGAGGCTCTGTGGGCCAGCCTTGGCTGTGCGGCAGTCATTTTTAAAGGCTTTCAAAGGTCTGCAGGCTTCATGTGTGCAACAACTGGCTCGATGTGTGCTGTGCTGAGCAGCCCGAGGCTCAGCAAGGTGCCAAATATAAATCTGCATTAACCTCATGAACACCACTCACCCCACACTGGTGTCTTCCAAGAGGCCTCAGAACCAACATACCCGGTGGCTGGCTTTAGACCACAGCAGAGCACCACCCCAATTAGCTCCAATTATGCTAAGTGAAATAAGTCAGCAGAGAAAGACAAATACCATGGGATTTCACTTACATGTGGAGTCTAAAGAACAAAAAAACACACACAAATAAAACAGAAACAGATACAGTGAACAGACTGATGGTTACCAGATGGGAGAGGGTTGGTGGCTGGGTAAAACAGGTGAATGGATTGAGAAGTACAGATTGGTAGTTACAAAATAGTATAAAGTACAGCATAGGAAATACAGTCAATAATATTGTAATAACTATGTGTGGTGCCAGTTGGATGCTGAAAGTACCAGGAGGGCCAAAGACTTTGTAAAGAATATGATTGTCGCCCTAACTAGTTTGGCTCAGTGGATAGAGCGTTTGCCTGGGGACTCAAGGGTCCCGGGTTCGATTCCGGCCAAGGGCATGTACCTTGGTTGCGAGCACATACCCAGTGGGGAGTGTGCAGGAGGCAGCTGATCGATGTTTCTCTCTCATCGATGTTTCTAACTTTCTATCCCTCTCCCTTTCTCTCTGTAGAAAATCAATAAAATATATTAAAGAAAAGAATATGATTGTCTAACCAATGTGCTATACACCTGAAATTATACAATATAATATTAAATGTAAACTGTAATTGAAAAATTTTCTAAAATAAAGAAAATGAACAGAAAATTTTTAAGAAAAAACACACACACACACACACACACAAGCTAGAGACACTTTGCGAACAATCTTCACCCATATTCCTCCTGGACATGTGCCATCCATGCAATGTGTCCAGGTTTACACAGACTCCAAAGGTGGAGTGAGGGCGCTGAGAAAATAAAGCAGAACCAGAATTGGTGTATAGCTAATGGATAACAGCATTTGGGGATTAAATCATAAGTTTCATGTGATAAAACATTTATACAATGAAGTATAAAATATGTTGAGAAAATATAAATTTAAAATGGAGCCATAAACTTAAATGCCATCTAAGAAGTATGCAATAAATGTCTACTCTATATCAGGCACTGTGCTAGGAACAGGGCCTCTGATGATAGGACCGTCCCACCCCTCCTCTCAAGGACAGATCCAGGGCACAGAAGAAGAAACAAAAAACCAGCAGTCTGGTCATAACTAATCAAAAGCCTTGTGCCCAGGCCTGATCTCAACGGGAGAACTTGGCCAGTGGCTGAGCTGATTTTTCCCTGAGGTTATGTTCAATACAGAACTGATGTAATCAGAAAATGGAAGTCAGTGGAACTGACTTTAAGTTGACATTTATTAAATGTTATAGAAGTTTGAGGAAATTCTCCACTCCTGACTAAGTAAAAATAGACAGGATATTAAATGTTACTGATTTGATTAACAAATAAAGCCAGAAGATTTGGTCTCTGACACTTTAGGGAATTCCTTACTGACTGCCAAACTACAGTATTAGAGTTAGTCCTTTGCAAAGAGGGGCTGCCCGATTTTTTTTTTTTTTAAGAGTACAATTGTGCCCATTTTCATTAACACATCATCAATGTCACTGTTAAATTATGTGGCTGGGTTAAGTTCAGACCATGATGCTCATTAGTTTGTTAAGTATTTAATAATTCTGGCTGAAAACACCATTTCCCCCAGAACCACTGACCCCAACCAGGATTAGCATAAATCCAATCACTCATTTAACCAATATTTGCGAGTCACTACTATGTGCCAGACTCTGTGCTAGGCACTGAGGTTGTAGCAATGAGCACAGGTAAGTCTTGGCTACTGTGGGGCTCCTTCTTTGAAATATGTTCCATCAAGTGCCACCGCCATACCTCTAAGGCAGGTATCGCTCATTAGTCACAGTGCTGTCTCCTGCCAAGCCCTAGACTGCTTGAGGATCTTTCTCAACATGCTACTATGAGAGTATTACCAGAGGCAGAGCACAAGATGAAACTTATTAGCCATCCAAATGCTAACCAAACTACACTGAATCACCTGTGGTTCCCCTCCAAAATTCTGTCTTGGTTCATATCATTTTCTGTTTCTGTCCTTCACCTCCCTCTCCTCCACCACAATGAACATCCAAATCAACTCTCTGAACAGCTCAAAGGCTCTGCCTTGAAGTTCTCCCATTCTCCCATTTGGACACAAATTCTTCCTCTTCTGAACCTGTTTCTTCCCCCTTTTATGGTATCTAATAAAGTGCATGTTGTGTCTCTCATGTATGCATCTTAAGGATAAAAAATATCTTTTCTACCTTTGAATTCCTCATATTATCTATCATATGGTTTTGTGCATGTACACACACACAAATACACACACACACACACACATGAAATCACATGCTTGCTAAGCAGTGGTTCAATTAATTATTAGAGAACTTAGGATGATGAAGAGAACACATCAGCTCACTTGGGGGAAAGCTTATTGTGTATCTATGTTCAATGGGGATATATCATTTCTACGCTTCTGGCTATCAAGTTGCATTTACAAGGCAAATTACTCTTAAGTTTGTGTTTATGTAAAAGAAGAAAAGTTGTATTTGATGTAAAGAAATAGTACAGTAGGTTCTTAATCTGAGTCGTGCACTCCCAGTGGCTGTGATGCCTCCGATACTGTATACAGCATAGGTATGTTTTTCCAGGGAAAGGATTCACCAGATTCTCAAGAACTAAATTATACAGTAACTCACTGATGCTGATGGAGATGTTTATGTGTTTGTTCTCACATGTCAAACTGGAAAGACCCCATTTACTGCTATTTCCAGATTTACATCTCTCAGGATGATCCTGGTAATCTCCAAATTGTTTTTCCTATGTTCACTGTGCCCACAAAATAAAATATGAAAAAATGAAGCCATAAAGACTTATTTTTTAGCACATAAATGTCTAAATGATCAACAATATCTATTAATCTTCCATATTTTCAGAATCTAATAAACTTCCATGAACTCAGCAGTTTCTTTGATGTTATGTATGTACCTTTAGGAAACATGTTCTCCCTCCTCCCCCAACAAAAAAAAAATCCAAATTAAAATGTATTCGCTAAGTTAAAGGTATTCAGATTCATAATTAATAGCACTCTTTCAACCTAGGGAAATATAAACAATGGACTAGGGAAAGAAAATGCACATCCTTAAGACGAGTAGTATTATTGAATTAAAGTTTATTTAAAACCATGCAAGAGGTTCTCCATGAGTGTAAGTAGACTGGTTCATATCATAGCCATATTCACAGATACCAATAACTGTAACTTTTGTCCACAAGACATACTAAATCAAACAATGTGATTAATTCAAGGTTATCTTTTTTTAAAGAATTTAAGCCACAAAGATGATTAGTCAGTTACTTGTGAAACTTCTCATTTTTAAAAAAAGTATTTTACTAAATCAAATGTATACAATGAATTAGTGAGCAATCAAATCCGAATACATTCCTCAGAGTATGCCAGAGGTAAGCAAAACAATATTAATAGAACCAAGATCACTAAAAAGTAAAGGATTTTTCAATCAATGGTAACATAAAACATCATGGCACATTATCATTGGACATGGAAACCCAGTAAGACACGTTTCAATATTGACTTTTTGTTGATCCTATAAAGCTAAAACAAAATTCCCAACAGAGCAAGAAAATGATAAATTCTAGAAATTGAGACATAAAACAGTGTTCTCTTTAAGAACATGCAATTCCCTACAAGTAATGTCTCATCTCAATGCATGAGGAAAAGCATATTTAAAATTCAAACAGAGCTCTGCCAGCCGCTAGAGGAACAACTCTCCATCTGCTTCATCAACAGAAACAGACAGTGGTTGGGTGATCACACAACTCCTTTGAATGTGTGTAATTTTTAAAAATAGTGACAACTCACTTATTCTTTTCTACTTTATTGATTTACACAGTTCAAATATGGCCATGTTCATGACCAAATATGTACAAACATTTAAAAAAATGAAAATAACAATTCTATACAGTTTGAAAAATCAAATTGTAACTATGATACCTTTCACCTAGTCCAATGACTAGAGACTTTCCAACACCAATAACTATCAGATATTCCATCAGGCCAAATGAAAGTTTACAATTTACCTGCTTTTAAACTGGCAAGAGCTACATGAGCAATGCCATATGCAACAAATCAAAGTCATTTCCTAACCAAAAGCTACTATTAATTGAAATCAATTTTACCATTCATATTAAATTCAGATGTCTAAATCCCAGATACCTGGGTATGAAATATTTAAATCTGCCAAAAGGAATTAAATATTTTTCTTCTTTTCTTTTAATATAATCCACTATATAATAGTGAACTAAATATATTTGTTTCATAGAAACAACTTACATTTGCCAATACAGGGCAAATGGTCTATATACAGATACATTAGGACTGCCTAACTGACAGTGAGTGTTGCCGACCAGGCTCCAAGTCAATAGAGCTAATACGGTGGAGCTCTCTGCTGAATGGACTTTCCCTTCAGGATACGTCGGATCTGGAATGGAAATGAATAGGATTTGTAAGTTTTCTTTTTTATGGTCAGCTTCAACAAGAACCCAGAACCCACCTCATACACACATAAATCCTTAATATACTTCAAGTCAAAACAGCTGTTCTGATACCCAGGAATAAAGTATCTGCACATAACTTCTCGGATCACAGGAAAGCCTCTAGGCCAGCCGTGGGCAAACTACGGCCCGCGGGCCGGATCCGGCCCATTTGAAATGAATAAAAATAAAAAAAAAAAAAAGACCGTACCCTTTTATGTAATGATGTTTACTTTGAATTTATATTAGTTCACACAAACACTCCATCCATGCTTTTGTTCCAGCCCTCCCGTCCAGTTTAAGAACCCATTGTGGCCCTCTAGTCAAAAAGTTTGTCCACCCTTGCTCTAGGCTCATTCAGAGCCTAATGATTTAAACACCAGGTTGACAAATTTTCTTAACTGTCTCTCAGTCCACAGCAGATGAAAAGCCATAATACAGAAGAAAAAGATTAGGGTGGGGAATGCAATTGACAACTGCTGGAAGAAGATACAATGACCACAGTCTGAATGACTACAGTCTGACAACAGAAGAAAAGACCCTCCCCAAAAACTCACACACACCAAAAAATACAAAAGCAGAAAGGAGAGTAATCTGAGAACATTAAAAGTCAAATGCTGTGAACATCGCTATATGACTACACACCATAAACCTGAAGTAGAAGCAAACACTGGGGTTAGGACACTGCCATTTAATATTTCATGATGGTTCCTATCCGTGGAACTTCTGTGAGTCTCATTTTCTTAGCTGAATTCTTATACTGTAAAGTTTTCATAGCTATTAAGTGTATACATGAAAACTTTACAAATTAAAGAGCTCCATCTTAAGTTATGAAGAGCTCTACAAATATGGGTTCCTATAACATTATGGTCATATGAGGGATGTGAATCAAAGAAACAACTAAATTGCACTCCATATATTTTATGATTATGAAAATATGTAATGACCTACCTATAGCCACAATCACCCTCATTTCCCCCAGGGAAAATTTCCATCAAAAATATCTCAAGGTCTTAAAAGATTCAATTCTTGTTATCAAGAAAAGTTCAGTCATGTGAAACTATTCAATCTCTGAATATAATATATAAGCATATGATGAGTAAAGCATAATTTTGTTTAGAGTATAAAATAGTTCTAGGTTCTAAGTTGCATTTAAAAAAAAAAAACCTTCCTATTTCTTATTTAAAATCAGTTATTAGAAATAATTGTAACAGCTGATGCTTACTGAGCACTGACTACGTGCCTGGGACTCTCCTGGACACTCCTACAGTACTGACTCATGTAACACCGACAGGCACACACACTGATAGAACCTGCCTGAAGAGCACCTCCACCCTGAACAATCTCACCTCCCTTTATGTTTCAGACCAAGTGTCTGAAAGCTTTGCCTGTCCCTCCTGTCACCCTCACCTGTTCTCCCACAGGGCCATCGGGAACCAAATGCACTGGCTGCTCGTTCTCCAAGTTCCGAGTACTTGGGTCTGCTCCCTTCCTCATCAACAGGCGGACTGCGTCCAACTGCGTCACCCGATACTGCAGGCTGGCAGCAACGTGGAGGGCAGTGTTTCCATTGTAAGCCTGAGACAAAGAGACAAACATGATGCCCATCAGGAAGGGGGACTTTCATGAGAACAGCTTGAAAGCTTGAAAAAGGTGTAAAAAAAGTCACTCCAACTCTTGTGAAGTTACTGAAGCTTTCGAAAGGTACCTTTGCATTCACGAAAGACAGGCAACTGGGCAGCTCCAAAAAGAGGCGAATGAGTTCCAGATTTGCTTCCTCAGCTGCCAAATGCAGGGCTGTGCGGCCGCTTTTACGATCCTTGTTAAAGGCAAGAGGGGAAAGACGTGACCATCCAGACAGCATGCCCAATCATGCTTTTCACCCAGCCTCCCAAATTCTGACTCAAGCCTTCCTTAACCCCAAACGAGATGAAATCTCTCATTCCTGTTAAATTCCTATTAATTTGCCTAGGTGACTCTTATCACAGTCTACCTTTACATACAGGGGGGCATAAAATGTAGAAACATAGATGATACTGTTTTACAATGTACTGTAATATAATACAATAAATGATTTATTATGTACTCGCCTATGTTTCCGACTTGGCAGCCACCCCGTAGACTTATAATTAGTTACATTCCTCACCTCTTCAATTAGAAGGTCCCTAAGGACCGAGTAGCTGACATTCAGGCCTTCCCCTCGCCCCGAACCCCTAACTCAGTGCATTGTACTTAAGAGATACTCAGCAAATAAACCTCAATTTTGCAGAGAAAAACTATTTTCCAGTCTAAAAAACAGAAGATTAAGTCTAGATCCCACAATGATGAAGCAACCTTACAAAATACACAAAGTTTTAATCTCTATTTGGGAACAGGTTTTTGTTGTAACCACTTCCTCTCCATCCCATATCCAAACTCTTCTGTGAATTTACCTTAGCCTCCACCGCTGCCCCCATTTGAATCAGACACTTAATGGTGTCAACCAGACTCTTATTCTTCAGTAAAAGCTCCTGAACTTCAGGTGAATGTGGCTGTTCATTTCTCTGGAGTTCATGCACCACAGCATTATGGGCCACGACCGCACAGTGCAGAGGAGTCAGGCCTAGAAAAATATAACAAAGCAGTGGTCAAGCATGACATCAAGCCTTTCGGTTGTTCTATAATTACAAACCTTGAGGATGGCCTACGAATGGGCTCCACAAGAACTAGTAAGGCAATCTGAATAATTCCTCCACTGGTTCTTAGTGCTAATTTCATCTATAGAATATTTTAGCATTAATTACCTCCCTTCCTTCTTGGTATGAAACTTAATATAATTTTAGAACAAATGGGCCCCTCTCTATAAATGGTTTTTTACCCAATAAAGTGTCATTTGCTTACCATCATAGTTAGTTGCCTCAAGATCCACAAACTGATTGCTCATCACCGCACCCTTCTGAATTGCCTGAAAATTTTAAAAACATATATCTGTTAGCAAGAGACAAGCTATACAGGTATTCTAAGTATTGAATAAGTGAACTCAAAATGGATTATTGCAACCCACATCCAACATCTAATACTCAAGCCCTCTCTTTGGCCCTGTGCTAATGGAAGCCTAGCAAACTGCCTCTTACCTGAAGCACCTGGGAGTGGCCCTTCTCAGCACAGACATGCAGAGGGGTTCTCCCCCAGCAGTCGGTGGTGTTCACCTGAGCTCCAAGGTTCACCAGATCCTGCACAATAAGATGCTGATTGGCAGCCACCGCCACCTGAAAGGCACTCTGTGGACATTCAGAAGAAAAAAAATGTTTTTAAAACATGTAACACTATCATGACAAGGAATATGAACCTAAACTAAGACTGAGGGAAAAACCCACATAGGAAAAATAAATCCTATTAATAAATAATAAGATACTGTAATACAAGAAAACTAAAGTAAACTTAGGGTGTGGCTTTATTATACCCAATTAGTCTTTGGTGAAATAACTATGAAGTTAATGTTAATAACTTCAAGGTTGATGGTGGCAAAGAGTCACCATCTCAAAGTTAATATTAACTAAGCTCTTTTGGTCTTGAGCTCTGAAACTACCTGCGGATGAATATGAGACTGGCTGTCATTCTCTTCACAGCAACCACATTTTTGCCACTTCGCTCTGTCAAGGTCCTCACCTGTCCATTGTGCTCTTTTATATCCAGCATGTGAAGTGCATTCATCTTTCTTGCAAGGACATAGGAAAGTGCCCTTCGCCCTTGGGCAACAGCAATATGGAGGAACCTGGGAGACAAGGAAAGGAAAAGAGGTGAATTACTTCTGATTTCACTAAGTTCACTTAAAGAAAAATATTCCTTTAGTCTCTTTCTTATTATGTTGGTACACTCAAAGCATTACAGAGCATAAACTGTCCTGTCGGCTGAGTTGCAACAGGATGAGTCAGACTATGAGTAGTAAGAAAAAGAATGTCAACCACCATACAGACCACTTTAAACCTATTATTTTTAATATTTATAAAAACCCTAGTAAGGAGGTATTATCATTTTACATGTCAAGAAACTGAGGCACAGAGAACTTACATAGCCTGCCCAAGGCCAAAGGTATCAGGACAGATAAGAATTCAATCTACAAATCAACTCACAGTTGACCATGACCAACTAATCATAATCTGATTTTCTCTCTATAAATACAGTCTATGCTAGTCTTTCAAAGCCAATTATTCAAAGAAAACACATACATTTTTATTAACTTAGAAAAGGTAATTTGTTCAGCCAGGGGGAAAAAAAGGAAAACTCTTTCTTGAAATATTATCATTGAACAGCAGTTTCTACCTACAGTCTTCATCCTGATTAACCAACCATTTGGTAAGGTCTAACTTGGTATGCCCTAGAGATATCCTCTGCCCACTATGTGCAGCAAATATGGTTTACCAAAATAGAGATAAAGGGATACTCACGTGTCACCATCTGCATCCTTTGAAAGAAATTGATCTTGGGAGATATTTGCCAGTTTGCTTTCTTCCTGCTCTACTTGCCACTGAAAAAATGACTTCCCTAACTGCGTGGTGTTCATTGAATTTCCGAGGATGTTCTGGAACGGCAGTGAGGTGCTTAAAGGCACAGAGCCTGCATCGTGCCCCGCCATGGCCTCACAGGCACTGTGCGGCACCATGCTGAAGTTCTGCAGGTGGGCGTCATTTTGTTGCTGAACACTGGGGGAAGTCTGAACGGGAACAGCAACATTCTCACATTCCCCATGACTGGTTAAAAGGGATGCAAAACTTTGGTTTGGGCAGAACTGTAGTTCTTGGTTACTGAAGAAGTTTGGCTCATAGTTGGGAGACTGGGAAGTTCTGGAATAAGGACTGTATTCCAGAGTTGGGTTCTGGGTATAGTGCTGTGGCTGCTGCTGTGGCTGCGGCTGCATGTTCTGGTTCTGAGGAGAATACTGGTACATGGAAGCCTGATCCATCATGTGTGGGGAGCTGCTGACTTGCAAAGGCTGGTACTTCTGAGGTGGACTGAAGATCTGCCCGCCATGGAAGTCCTGGCACTGCTCTCGGGGAGAGCCCTGAGCGGCCACCGCAGGGCTCACCCAGCTCACTTGGACAGTATTCAGGGAAACCGGGCTGTATTCATTCTTGATGTTGATAATGTTCTGAAGCAGATCAGCACTGCTGTCTTGTTTGGGTTCGTTGTGGTGAGCATCTTCCATGCTCTCTGCGGGTGTTGGTGTTTGAGGTGGTGTCTGGAAAGAAAGAAAAAAGTAAATTGCACACTCCCTTCCAAAATTATTCCAGGAATAATTTCGCTCTATAGAATATAATTTAATTTCTGAAAGGTATTCAGAGGAAAATAGTGAGACGCTTACCAAAAACTGGGTATGCAGCAAAGCTGGCCTTTTACAAGCTGGTCCATCAGACAACGAATCGGGTCCTTTCCTTTTCCCACTATATGACACAGTGTTTGTCAACTCTATACCCAAAAAAGGAATGTGGAATCTGTGATCATTTTATTTTGAAAATTTTGCCCATAAACACACCACATTATTTTATTCTAAAGGCCCCATAATATCTTGAATAGAAGTAATTCTTACCTGTAAATTGCTCTCTGTTCACACCTTGTGTCTATAAGGAAAAAACAAGTTTCCAATTTAGTATAATATTAAATGGCTTTCTGCTTAATAGACATCAATAAACATACTTATCTCTCCCATTCTTTACAGCTCACCATAAACCTTTGATGCAGCTGCACTATCAATATTTATTTTCTATCTTAATTTTCATTCTATCTTTCAACTTTCCCCCATTTGCCTGTTCACCTTAGTTCAACTATGTCAAGATAAAATTAATAAGACCATTTGAGTTTTCCCTTTCTAATCAAGATGTTCCATTTCAGTTGAACCCCATTTACTTCTTTGCCCCCAATTTCATTCATTAAATTTCTCTTGTCCACCTACCAAGTGCCTAGCACTGGGCTAAGTAAGCAATAGGAATACGGCAGACAGCAAGACACATATGCCTCCTGTCCTACGGACATGGTGGTCTACAAAAGACTTACGGGATTTAGGTCAGCAAAAACTAATAACCCCAACAGACTAATCTTCCTGACCTCTGACCCAAAACAAAAAAAATAGGTGCCACCTTAAAATCATCTGTGGCTTGGCCAGAAGCCTTCTGTTTATGACTTCGGATGTGCAGCAAAAGCTCCTTCACCGAGTTCTTCACACGAACACCTTGAAAGGGTCCTCTCTGCTGCCTTCCAACCCCCATATGGGGCTCAGCTGTTCAAAAGAAAAAAAAAACATATGCCAATTAAGTCTCTGCACAGACACAAATCTTAGTAACCTCAAAAGCATAGCTGTCTAACATATAAAGTCCCCAATCACCAGAATGCAAAGCCTTGCCAACTTGCTCTGGTCAACGGCCTACATGTCACTCCCCAGTCCTACTTAAGGTTTGATGCTGCCTGAATGCTTTGCCCCATCAGGCTCCCTAAAGAGTTAAACCTCATACAACTGTGGTTTCAGGAATCTTCAGAGCCAAGAGACAACCCAAATTAAACCTCTCTGTCTCTCGCCCCTTTCAACCCATGAGACAGTATCACAGATTTGCCACACTAACTCTCATAGATCTATCATTATTCTTCACTTTTGAAAAACCTTGGGGGATCAAAGGATAAATGATGAATTTTTAGCTTTTCAAACCAAAGGCTTGGTGCCCACATAAAAATGTAAAAGTCTATTAATCCCCTAACCTAAGAAAGCACAAAACAAACTTCCTCCAAAGATCTCAATGTACCAAAGCCTAACAATGAACAATGTCTTAGATGTGTTTCTTATTATTTCGCTCAGTTCAGTCAACTATGCCAAGAAATCTGCTTGAATTCACTCAGATTAAACACATTTCCACACACACATGCAGGATTTCCCCTCACTGACTTTTTGGAACTGCTCACAGAGGCCTTCTAAGTAAAAAGGAAATCTGTAATCTCATTTCATATTTAAACTTTAAAACACACTTTAAAATGTAGTCTGTGAGTACAGCATTCCACTTCTGACCACTGTTATGTCATAACCTCTTGGGATGAGTTGAACACAAAGTAAACATGCAAAATGTCAGGAAATGAATAATCCAGCCGCCTCATTGACAGTGGAAAAAAGTAAGAAGATGGGACAAGAAACAATGCATAATTTGAATATATGTATATATCATAAATATAGGAAAGAAACAACTTAATGATGGGGCAAATTAAATGACTAGTTAGTTTTACATTTAAGTTTAGGAATATCTTGCCAGAATCTAACACAACATTTCTCTGGAATGACAGGAGTTAATAACTCAACGTCACAAGGAGAAAAATGCAGTTTGAGAAATCCCCTATGGTTATGCCGTAAACCAGGGAAGTAGCAAAATAGTTTCAACCAGATGAAAGCCAAATGTGGGAGAAAAGGTTCTAAATACATACACACACACACACACACACACACACACACACACACACTCACACACTTTTTACATACAACCAAGTGGATTAAAGTACTTCTTTAAATGAAAACGGAAATTCACTTTTTAAAAGAAGACAACCGAAACAGCAGCGGCTGGCAGTGAGGAACACCTAAAAGAGAACATTCTTTAAACCATGCTGATTAGATTCTCCAACAGTTGAGATTGTCTAGAGGTTCTTTAGTCTACCCACTGTGGCATCATGTTTTCCCCCAAATTATGCAGCTCCGTTCATTAAGAAAAGAAAGCAACCAGCCCTGGCCAGGCAGCTCACTTGGTTAGAGCTTCTGTCCTCCCAAATACACCACGGCTACGGTTTGATAGCTGGCCAGGGAACGAACATATACGAATCAACCAATGATGCATAAATAAGAGGAACAACAAATCGATGTTTCGTTTTCTTTCCCCCTCCCCCCCCCTCGAAATTTAAAAAATGAAAGAAACTAACCAAATCACAACCAAAGAAAGAAAACATTGTTTCTTTGCTAGATGTGGCTTAACCATTCTAAAGCACACAGAACAAAACCAGAAGCACAGAAAACTAACTGGCCAACCGCACAAACTAAACATACATTGACTTGGTTTTCAGTCCAGCTTCACCTTATTACATCTTGTTAATATCGGTTTCCTTTCTTGAACACAAAGTCCTTTTACTTAAAGTTTCCATAAATACTTAGGAAGAACCAAGTCAGGACCTCAAACCCTTTCACTAACAAAAGTCACACACACACAAAAAACTACATTATATCCAAAACCTCGCCATAATATGTGAATTCTAGCTTAATAAAGTTGCTTTTAAAAAAAAGAGAGAGAAAATATACTGTGGTTCGGGTCCGTACCCCCTCACCCCAGCCTGCGCCCCAGAAGTCAGAGTTTTGTTCCCAGAAGCGTTTTAAGCTACGAAGCCAGCTGTCGGGAGCCTGGATTTCACAGACCGCCAAAGGGCTTCCAGTTGTCAAACGCCCAGCACTGGGTGAGGCATCCAGCAGTCGCCTAATAGTGACGGCTGGTCGGATTATGTGCTGCCGCTAAACAAGGCGCAGAGGCGCCTCGGGCGGCCGGATCCTCCCCTCCCGGCGGCGTGCGGGGCCGCCCCCGCCCGGACGGCGGGTACCTTGCAGCCGCTCGGAGCGGGCGCTGCCTCTCGGCCGGGACTCGACGGCCCCGCAGGAGGACACGGCGGAGGCGGAGGACAGGTCGGAGGAGTCGGAGCCCGGCGAGCCCGGCGCCGAGGGCCCCGACGCCGAGCAGCCGGCGTCGCAGGCGCCCGGGGCGGCGGCGGGCGGCGACGCGCTGTAGAAGTAGGCGAGGTTCAGCGGGCTGGTCATGAGGCCGCAGTCGCCGGCCGCGTCCAGCAGCCCCTCTCCGCCGCGGCTGTCGTCCAGCAGCTTGTCCACGATCATGCTCCCGGGCGCGGCGCTCGGGGACCTGCACACCTGCGCCGCCGGCTCGCTGCGCGGCTGCCTCCGGCTGCGGCTGTGGCTGCGGCTGTGGCTGCGGCTGCGGCTGCGGCTGCGACGGGCTCGGGACTGGTCGGCGGGAGGACAGGCGGGCGGGCACGGGCGCAGCCCCGGGGACCCACCTTTATAACCGGCCCGCGGGACCGGGGCGGGGCGGAGGGGCTGCCGCCGCGCCGGCCTCCGCGCGCCCTGCCCGGCCATTGGCGGCGTCGGGGCCTCCTCCCGGCCCCTCCTCCGGATGCGCTCCGTTTCCAGTAAAATGTACAGGATGAGGCAATGTGCCCTCCGCCCTCGCCCCGCCCGCCCGCCCCGCCCTAGACCGACCGGTTGCTTTCTGGCCCTTCACCTGGAAACCCCAATCGAGAGCGGCCTTCCGCCTCCGGGACCCCGATCCCCCGCCCCAAGCGCCCGCGAGGGGGCGTGCGGCTGGGCCTCGGGTGGCAGGGGTGGGCGGGGAGGCGGGAGGCGGTCGGGAACCGGTCGGCCAGGTTCCCGGGTGTTGGGAGCCCCGGCCGGTGCGCGCCCGCGCGCCTCCGCCTGAGCTCCTGGCCAGCCCCATGGAAGGCATCTCTGGAAGGTTCTTACAGACGCATCTCCTCCGGCGCCTCAAAGCAGCTTCCATCCTCTTACCGTAATTCAATAAACGTTTGCCAATATTCCTTTTCACGGGGTCCCAAACTGAACATAATTTGAAGGCGGTTTTCGGTTTTAAAATTATAACCTGGCCCTGGCCAGAGCGAGGGCCCTGAGGACTGAAGGGATCCCGGGTTCAAATCCGGTCCAGGGCACGGAAAAATAAAACAAAATAAGTTATAATCTGGACAACAGCTAAACTTTTTGGTGGGGGGGGGGGGCGGGGGGGGGGGAGTGTGTGTGTGTATACAGTCCGGAAATTTTAAAAAAGCAGTGCCCTACAGTCTTGTATCCTGGAACAAAGTCATCTTGGCAAAAGGTAAGTGTATTTATATATGTAATTTCTTTATTCTGCATTACTTTACACTGTGTCTGATAAACACGGTAATTTTGCTCCTGCCTGTCTTAAACGACTTTTTAAATGGATTTACACAAATTGTTGAAGTCAATATTTTGAAGTCATATTACTTGTTGAGCCCATGGCTAGGAGTTGGCAAGAGAAAATGATGAATGATTATAATGTCTGTCCTTTCAAGTACATTATAAACTTGTGGGAACGATAAGGTAAGCACACTCATGCTATATTAAAAGAAACCGACTATGATTAAATATCATGAGGGATACAAAGTCCAGTGAGTGCCCTGAAGAGAGAAACAAGCCTGGTGGAGGAAAAGAGGTCACGAGGAAAACCTGTGTGAAGGAGGTGGCAGTTGAGATAGGCACTGAAGGATGTGTGGGATTTCAACCCACAGCATGTACAGCAGGAGCAAAGAACTAAGATGAGGAGTCGGGAGATGATGACATTAAATGTAAAAGGTAATTTGGTGCCTTTGGGTGGAGCACTCCAGTGGCAGGCGGAGCATCTCCACTGGGTCTTTATTTAGTAAACACTGAGTGAACATGAAAGACTTTGTGGCAGACAAAACTAATCTGGAAGCAGCTTAGAGAGGGTGACCCTGAGATATCCAGAGGCCCTGGGGGGGCGCTGCAATAGCCCAGGAGGGAACTGACCAGACCCTGGGGCAGAGGCAGTGGGAGAGGGGAAAGTAAATGGAACGAAAGCAGGGCTGGGTAGCATTGCTAGGGCAGAATCCAGAGGTCTGGTCCAGTTGGAGGTGAGGAGCCATGAAAGGTCCTGTCAGGCTCTGGTTTGGGGCTGGATGACAGATGAACACGGATGCCAGCTTCAAATTGCAGGGAAATTAGCAAAAGCAGAATGATAGGGTTCCAGGAGGAAAGAAGGGACAGAGGGAGGGAGACAGTGAACTTGAGTTGGTACTAGGAATTAATTGTGGTATAAGACCCTGGTGGGGGTTCCAAAGTAAATATTTCCTCCTTTCTCACAAGTGTTGTATTATACCTAAAACTTCTTGCTGTCTCTCCTTCCCAATTTTTGGATTTAGGTAACTTTAAAAGAATCTTATATAATAAAAAGGAAATATGCAAATGGACCATCACACCCTCACAAGATGGCTGCCTACAACCATGCCATCAGGGGGGTTAGTGAGGGATGACCAAACAACTGAACAAGCAGGCCGTGTGGGGTGACCAGGCTGGCAGAGAGGCTGTGAGGAGCAACCAGACTGGGGGGAGGAGGGAGTTTGGGGTAACAAGGCTGGCAGGGGGGCAGTTGGGGGCGATAAGGCAGGCAGGGGGGGCAGTGAAGGGCAACTAGGCCAGTGGGGGGGGGGCAGTTGGTGGTAGCAGCGAGGGGTGACTAGGCCGGTGGGGGGGGCAGTTGGGGGCGACCAGGCCAGCAGGGGGGAAGTAAGAGATGACCAGGCTGGCGGGGGGGGCGGGCATTAGGGGCAACCAGGCTGGCGGGGGGCAGTGCAGTTGGGGGGTGACCAGGCCAGCAGGGGAGGCTGTTGGGGGCAATTAGGCTGGCAGAGGGGGCAGTGAGGGGTGACTAGGCCTGCGGGGGGGGACAGTTGGGGGTGAAGAGGCCAGCGGGGGGGCAGTTAGGGGCAACCAGGCCAGCAGTTGGGGGCGATCAGGCTGGCAGGTGGGGCAGTTAGGGGCAACCAGGCCAGCAGGGGGGGGCAGTTAGGGGCGATCAGGCTGGCATGCAGAGGCAGTGAGGGGTGATCAGGCCAGCAGGGGGGGCAGTTAGGGGCGATCAGGCAGGCAGGTAGGTGAGCAGTTAGGAGGCAGCAGTCCAGGATTGTGAGGCAGTTGGACACCCCCGAGGGATCCCGGATTGGAGAGGGTGCAGGCTGGGCTGAGGGGACTCCCTCCCGTGCACAAATTTCATGCACTGGGCCTCTAGTAAATAAATAAAAAGGAAACAACTCTCTTGATGTAACTGCAGAAAGTAAAAAGTTTCTGTAATTGCAATTCCTCAAAATCACTTAAAAGATGTTCCAAAGAATATGTTGGGTCTTTGCAATACAACCTATTTGGATTTTATTACCTCCCCTGTTTAGAGCAAGAACAGAGCGGCCTTTTTAGACACTTTTGACAATCCAATACACAGTCACTGTCAGCTATGTCAAGTACTATGTCAAGATAGGTAATGGGGTGTAATGGGAATGCCCCAAACCACAAGTCTGGACACTTGGATAAGGATGCCATCTGGACATCCATGTGAGTGGGACCTCTGTCCCTGTGGGCTATAAGAACTCAGAGCTCCTACCACCCAAAGCTGGAGCTTGGCTCTGCCATGGGTCACACTCGGAGCCCTGCCCAACTTTCACTCCACCAGACTGTGCTGCCACTAGCCACCTGGCTTGAGACAATGCTCGCCTCTCCACCTGCGGCCACCGCCAGAGATTTAACAGCCCAACTCTTGCTCTGGAAGTTTCTATTGTGTAAGCTCCCCCTCTCTGTGTGTAACCTGCCTATGACTCTATTGGCTTATTGGGGAGGTCTCCCCTAATAAACCTGGCAACATCCATTCATTATTTTTATCTATACTAATAATAGCCTAGGTGGTCATCACGCATCACACCCTTACATCATCACAAGATGGTCATCATAAGATGTCCACATGCACAGTGGAGGCAGGGCCCAGCGGAGGAGGTGGGTTATGGCAGGGGAGGGCAGTTGTGGGCGACCAGGCTGGCAGGGGAGGGCAGTTGTGGGGATTCAGGCCAGCATGGGAGGGCAGTTGGGGGCAATCAGGCCAGCAGGGGAGGGCAGTTGGGGGTGATCAGGTTGGCAGGATAGGGCAGTTGGGGGCGACCAGGTCAGCAGGGGAGTGGTTAGGAGCCAGCAGTCTTGGATTGTGAAAGGGATGTCCCCCGAGGAGTCCCAGATTAGAGAAGGTGCAGGTCAGGCTGAGGGATACACACCCCGCTCCCCTGCACAAATTTTGTGCACTGGGCCTCTAGTGTATAATAAAAGCCTTAATGGTCATTCAAATAAATTCATGGACAAAATCCATGGCAATTGTTCTTTTCAAAGTAAATTCTCCCCTAAAATTATTTTCTGCTTCACTTGGTATATAAAAATTTAAACCTCAAAATAAGGGCCTCTGGAGAACTTTATATAGATAAATATGATCGGTGAAAGAGTGATGTCTCAAAACAGTTTTCTATGAAATGCTAAAGTAATCATACTGTTTGAGAAGACCACATCCCCAATGGCCATAAGCCTTCCCAGAAACAGTCAAGAATTACTGTTAACATCACTTCAAAAGGAAAATAAAAAATACTCTGCTTCATTTAAATGTTTAAATATGCATTCTATTTGGTTGAACGATATGACACTGCCATTGTTCCAATCAAATATGGTTGAGTACTCACTCCGTGGAAGACAGCCACCATGTTATGAGGACGCTGGAAAAGTCCACTGAGAATGACAACCAGGACCAACTGGCCAACCATGTGAGGGAACCATGTTGAGAGTAGCTCCATTAGGCCTTTAGATGACTGCAGCACTGACCAACATCTTGACTATAGTCTCATGAGCAACCTTGAACTAGAACCCCCCAAACCACTCCCAGATTCCTGACCACAGAAATTATAATAAAAAATGGAGGCCTTGAAAATTTGCCCAAG